GACACCGAAACAAAGAAGAAAAAATCAACAGTGAAAATCTCAAAATAGGGTATCCCAAGTGTCTGAGCGCCCGATGCGCCAATGACGGGCGTAACAATTTAACAATTTCGAGGCGAAAGAAATTCCGCCGCACAGTGGACCGAGTCAATCGGAGAGGTCGGACAAAATTTGGAAACTTTAAACGCTTCTAACTCCGGTTATACAAGACTTTGTGGTTCTAAAAGTGGTTCCGTTGGTTTCCTCGTGGTATTTTCTTCTAGAAGCACCCCTTAAAATTAAAAATTTGACGATATGAATACCAAAAGTTGCAGTTTTGGTCAAAAATTTCATGTCCGACCTCTATAGTGGAGAATTTGCATGCAAAATGTTTATTGCCTCATCTGAAAGTGCTTATAGAGCTAACATTACTGTATTTTTTCTTATTTTTTTTTCTATAGGAAACAGTAGAAAAATAGATTTAAAAGTGAGAAAATGCACCGTCTGGTGACGTCATCTAGCGGCATTTCGACGGTGTAAGTCGGCAATCACATAACTCGTTTGCGGTGTCTGAAAATCTCCTCCTCTATGTTATTTTTTTAAAGGCGAGCGAATTGATATCATTCCTCGAAGTTTTTGCAGAATTTTCTTCGCACAGAGAAGAAAAATCACGGCAATTTTAAAGAATTGCCGTTGAGTGGTTTGCCGTTTAAAAAATAAAGTATAACAGGAAGTCTGCGACGTCGCAAGCCGAGTTATGTGATTGCCGACTTACACCGTCGATTTCCCATTTAAACACACGTATTTTAGCAGGTGAGATCATTTTGTCATATCTTCTCCAATAATGGGACGTATTTCTACCAAACAGACCTACGTGGAGGTGAGAAATACGGGGTGTGCTCGTAAGTTCTCTGTGCTTAAGAGTGAATGAGAATAATTGTGCGCCAGTGACGTCAGCGGCAACGAAGCCGCCCGCCTCCGCATAAACTCATGAGCCCTGTCCATAACGCTCTCTTACCATGCCCGCGGCTCATGAGTTCCGCATTCAGTTGGCACATAGGTCTGTTTGGTAGAATGTAAAATCCCGCTTTGCCAATTCTTCAAAAGGAATCACGTCCACTTTTACATTGTTTCTTATGCAGCCTCCAAGAGCACACCCCATATTTCTCACCTCCACATAGGTCTGTTTGATAGAAATACGACCAATTGTTCAGTTCATGAAGCACGGGTATCCTCGTATTCAGTTCACTCCAAGGTAGATTTACACAGGTATGGAAAAGTTGAAAATTTCCCATGAGCCTCAGTACGTGTCACATGACCTCGTGACGTAGGTTAAGGGGCCCGTTTTTTAATTAAATTACAATCAAATTAACATTCCAACGTTTGTGCGTTTAAACGCTAAAATTAATATCGTATAACCAAAATTGTGCAAAAAATCCCACAAAATTTTGACAAACGATAAACCGAACATAATAAATCAAAATAATCAAAACATACAAAATGGCTGACGTTAAGGGGCCGCTGGAGAGCCAATCAGAGGCCAGTTGTTTAGTTCTGTCCATACCTGTGTAAATCTACCTTGGTTCACTCAGTAGTTTCCACTTAAACACGAAATTCATCAAATTTCAGACACCTGCGAATGGAGATGTTGCATGTGTGAGGAATTTGCGATTTGACTATTGATTCTTATGTAAAAGTTCGCGAGAAACACGATGGTGACACTGCTTTTCTCTGAAATCAACTCCCAATCTCAAAAAAAAGCTCTCAAGTTGAGGCCAAAATGGAGGGGATATCCCACGCTATCCTGAGAGTCCACGTCTACATCAAAACAAATTCTCCATGCAAAGATATATCGACGGTGAAACTACCAAACCACGTATCTCGGTTTGCGACGTCGCAGACTTCCTGTCATACTTTATTTTTTAAATGAAAAACTACTTAACGTCCAGTCTTGAAAATTTCTGTGATTTTTCCTCTTCGTGCGGAGAAAATTCTGTGAAGATTTCAAGGAATGATATTGATTTGGTCTACCTCAAAAAAATAAAATGCGAGCGTAGATTTTTAAACACCGCAAACGAGATAAGTGGTTTGGTAGTTTCACCGTCGATATAGGGAGCAAATACATTAGCAGTGTTGCCGGTTGCAGGTTTTTTTCTGAAATCAACTCCCAAGCTCAAAAAAGCTCTCATGTTGAGGCCAATATAGAGGGGATAATCAGGGGATATCCCACGCTATCCTGAGAGTCGACCTCTACATCAAGACAAACTCTCCATGCAAAGATACGGAGCAAACACATTGACAGGGCTGCCACTTTATTTGGAGACTCTAAAACTGAAAAAACGGCATCACTGCTAATGTATTTGATCCCTATCTTTTCATGGAGAGTTCGTCTTAATGTAGAGGTGGACTCTCAGGATAGCGTGGGATATCCCCTCCACTTTGGCCTCAACTTGAGAGCTTTTTTTGAGCTTGGGAGTTGATTTCAGAGAAAAGCAGTGTCACCATCGTGTTTCTCGCGAACTTTTGCCCACATGCAACATCTCCATTCTCTATTGACTCGATCCCCTGTGCGCCAGTAGCGTATCGCTGGAAAACAATGGGCGGCGAGGGGGGACCTCGGGGATAGATCGGGGATCAGAAGGCGCAAAAGGATCGATTATCTCGTCGGGCGGCAATTGAGGTTCGTTGAGCGGACAGACAGCCGCCTCAAGTGCCGCCGGCCCCAGGGACCCGCGCCCGGCCCCCCGAAACCCGCCTCGAGCGACACCCATTTACCAACAACAACGAGTCCCTTTGTTTCGACTACCTGATTGGATAATCTCTTTCACGCCGTTACAGGTGAGTCTTACTTCTTTCGCACCATTGCCCCCCATTTTCAATTTTTGCCCCGAGTCAACAGAACTGAAAATGTAAATACCGGGCCGAGCTCTATGATATTTCAGCTATCAGTAGGTAATCACAGCAAATTAGATCGCTGCCCTTGAAATTTCGACTGGTCGCTCTGATTTTTATTTGGTTGTTGTTCTTTTTTCGCCACGAAGTGGGCCCACAGCCCCACTTGGGTAGGCCCGTGTAGTGGTCAGAGGACACCCCCCCCCCCCCCCCNATCCGAATATTTAATTATTTATGTGAATAAAATATTACTCTTGTGTTCGATAAATTAATTTGAACACAGTTGGACGCCATTGAGTGATAGGATCTATACGCACGAAGCTGGATTTAAAAAAACGCGTATCTCTTCAATCACTATGAGGGGTCATACGTTGTTTTTTTTGACTCTGCATATATAGACAGATCCTTTCTGCTTACTGGGGCCCAGAGAATTTTTGATTAGATAAACAAAGCTTTTGATTAATCCTTCGAGTTTGTGTTACCTGATTGGATAAATAAATCTTACGCCGTTTTAGGTAAGTCCTCGTTTTCGGTCTGTCTATTTCCAATTAGATTTTAGTTTGCATTTGCTTCAATGTGCTTGACGTACTCATTTGGACATGCACATTCTTACATTTTTTATGCTTAAACCAAAAGTAGTTTGCATGAAACTTTAATGAGAAAACATGTCGCGTGATACTAAGATTCTAAAATTTTGCATCCCTATGAATACTGTTTCCTGTTTACGATAAATGAATTTTGCTTTTTGAAGATTCGGCCCAATTTTAGATGTTCAGAAAAGGTCTGAGAAAAGGTCGAGTGAGAAAAGTTAAGACTTCGCTTAATTTACACTGAATTACACTTGTATCTTTTCGTAACGGCAATGTTGCTTCCATTAAAAAAAGGCAACGCTTTGCGTCTAGAAGGTTTCAATGTTGATGAAAAATGTATTTAGCTTTGGTTCCGTCAAACACGTTTTTTGACATTTTGCATTCAGATTCATTCATTTAGTGACTTTTTTGATCTGAGAAAAGACTGATGGTCAGATGGCATGCTTTTGGCGAAAACCGAACAGAATTGTTAGGTGTAAACCTTAGTTTTGTGTTTCTAAACACGCGGACGATTCACTTGCATGACCTTGAAAATATTCAGAAACGTCCTTATTATATTTTCTCCAAGTTTAGAACTAAAAAGAAAAACGTAATTTTTACAATTTGGCAACTCTCATAAAGTTCAGTCTCTTTCATAGTAAGTGAAAATTTAAGTTTGGCTGAAAATGAAAAATGAACATCCTCAATTTTCCTACTTTGAAACTGAACAAAAAACCTTAAACTCACTATCAGTCAAAAGCCCGTTCATTAGTTACGTTGCAGCCTAAAGGGAGCAGAGGAGGAGGGCGTATTGCATGAACGTTACAATTAATTCTGTGTTCGACGCAGATAGCAGATTTTCTGAAAAATTTGGATTGCCAATTTTTCTATTTTTTTTAAAGGAAAATGGAAGAGTGTAACAAAATCTTGTCGTCATTTTCTAGGAGGCGAGCACACTTGCTTGATATGCGCGTGACGAGGGATAAAGGGGGATTCAAAATTCAAAATTTTAGCGTCACGTAATTCTTAAACCTCATATTTTTGGGTATTGATAACAGTGAGATGTCACCTTTCACTTACCTTTTCCCTGACTCAAAGAAAGAAAGAAAAAAAAAAAGAAAAAAAAATATGAATTTATCAGGTAGAACAGACTTTGCGTCCCTTGCTGATTCGTTGATCCTATTATTCCCTTTTAGTGAACCCTAAGGGCTTGATGTGCATGAACAAGATAGCGGCTGGGTTTCGGACGTGAAAAAGGATTTTTAATTTCTAAATTTCTGGACAATGTTACAATTTATAATCCATGTTAATTAGTGTCTGAATATTGTCACCGAGAGCTTCAGATCTTTCACGTTTCTCTAAAAAATGAAAATTTCTCGCGGTAGGATTTGTTTACAATATCTCATTGGGCTCTATGAGAGGCCTGAATCTGATGAGCCAATCAAAGGGTGGAACAGGCATGACACCACTCTTACTAGGTCTACCGTGCTAAGGAAGAACGTCGTATAAACATTCGAGAGTTGCCAAATTCCCCTTGATAAAACATGTATTTTTGACGACATTCATGCAAATTCATCCTTGAACTTTTCAGATATTTTAGATTAAAATGCGTGCAGATTTGACTAAATTTTTTGGAAAAAACCATTCACAATTTTCCTAATAAATTCGAATTTTCATCGAAAGAAACTTGGCAACGTCTGGAGGTTCATACGGCTTTCTTCCTTCGCACGGAAGAGGTACCCTAATCATTTTTGGCTTAATTCCAGGATCTAATGCGGTGGAGATTGGAGATCGCGGTGATATGAGAGCCGGGAAGTTGCTGTTCCTCCTGTTGATGGCCGCGCTTTTGGGCTGGAGCGAGGGTGCGCGGGGCGGGGGGAGGGGCCCCGTCAGGGGGAGAGGGGGCCGCAGGGGTCACTTCGGATCCCGCATGCCCATTCTCATTAAACACTACAACCCTGCTAGTGCCAGCTACTACGAAAATTCTGATGTAAGTTTCTGTCCCCTTTCAGATCACAACTGAAAAGTATGAAGCCATAACCCAAGCAGAAAAATGTCTGTATGTGTTGACAGGAGCTTCCGATGAGATGTTCCCATTACTGGGATTCTCATGATTTCAAAGGATTCCCAATGATTTCAATGATAATTTTAACTGTCCCAGAAAGAAAATCAATTTTGAGCGTATTCGTTGGATGTTTTCATCAATCGAAACGAGAACTTTTCTTCGTACTTGAGGAGGGTGAAAAAAAAAGACTGTTCTTTGGCACGTAAAAATCGTTTGTGAATTCCCGTGATTTTTAAAGCCTATGTTTTATAGGTGCACGGCTGCAACACTTCTGTCTTGCAATTTACCTACTCATTTTCTTCCCGGAAAAAGAGATCTTTTTTCCTTTCGCACAAATAGTTACAATGATTGGTTCATTATCGGCGGAAACACAAATAATTATCATTTATTTATTTTATATTTTTGTGAATACTGTGCATTTATGAACTTAGCACTATTTGATTACAGGGAGCGCGCATAGTGAAATCTTCACATTTTGAGTTGGATTACATGCTGGGGAGAAAGATCACGTTCTTCTGTATGGCGCAAGGATTCCCGCGGCCTCACATAACCTGGTTCAAAGACGGAATCGAACTTTATGCTCACAAATTTTTCCAGGTAACGTTTCGGACATTAACAAAATTACAAATCCAGAGGAATCCGCGATCGCCAGCAATTAGCAAGTCAGTAGAGCTGAAAGAAAAAAAAAATTGAACTCAGAAAAAAAGGAGCGTGCAGACTATTTCACCAATATTTAAGTAATTCTGATACTTTCTCTCCCTGAGTCCACTTTCGCAGCTGGGTTTATCGTGAGTGTTCATGAGTTCATGAAATGAAATTAGAAACCTTGATTAGGTTTGGCTTGGATAGGCATCTAAAGCAACTGCGTGGCAAAGCGTGGAGTATCACGTGAAATTGAAGGCGCTCCGGGCCGAGATTGCGCTATCCAAATTCTTTCCCGTTGAAATGTTTATGCCGATGCGAATTATTTATAATTATGGGCTTTGCCGAGGATAAGTGGAAGCCACTTACAAATGTCCGACGGTCGCTAATTGCCTGTGACACTCAAAATTGCTAAGAAAAGTATGGCTAAATTAATTGTGTAAACAATACTACTGGTAAAAATCCCTGTATAAATTGATAGAGGAGTTAAGGTAAAGACGCGTACCTCGATGGCGACATTCTGAAACATTGCTTCATTATTATTTTTTTATGGAACATATAACCTTTCCGTTCGTAGAGACTATGTAAGGAAGTCCCGACTTCAGTTGGATATTCAAGTGCGATTACACCAGCAATTCATTTTGAAATTTGATTCCCACAGACAGTCAAATTGATTGATTTTTTTTTATATATATCGAGGTGTTGTATAGCGTCAAAGCCTTTCAAATTGAAGAATATGGTCTCGAAACATAAATAGATGGGATAGGTAAGTCTGGTCAATGGCAAGGACTTTTTTCAGGGTTGTAGATTACAGTATTGTGCGTGAAATTTCGTGAAAACCTCAAATAATTCATGGAAAAATTAAACAATATAATTTCAGGAGGGAAAAAAAGCTGATCAAAATCTAACCAAACAAAGGCTGAAAATCGAGTTGACATAACAAGGCAATGCCTGAATAGGAGTTCAGCCGATCAGCAAACGCCGTTTTCCCGCCTGCTTACGTCATCATTCAGAGCCCGCCAAAAATATAGTTTCAAATGAGTCTCTTTTGTGGCAGTTTCAAAACGGGATTTCTTCGTCAGTTAAGGTTTAAAAATTCTGAAAATATCCTAGGAGCTGAGCTCACTCCGTACTTTCAGAAAATGAATTGAACTACATTTTGCAATTCGGAACAACAATTTCTAGCTTATCGGTGCAAACACTTATGTGAATAGGGAAACTAATGATACATACTATGTTTCTAAACTGAGACAGGAATTGAAGTTCCAAAATGCAAAATGTAGTCCCATTAAAAAAACGGGTGACCCGTTGCCGGGGTTTCAACACCGATTTCCTTGTGGGGTTTCTACAGAACTTGGAAAATTAAAGAACTGAAATGTCTGATTTCCCTGGCACATTTTGGTGAAATTCCCTGACAGTTGAAAAAATGACAGATAGTTAAAAACAAATAGTTATAAATAGTTTTCAGGCATTCGTTGTTCGAAACGTCAAACTCACTCGAGACAGCAAATGAAGGTGACGTGACGATTTTTCCCTGACACTTTCATCATTTTCCCTGACATTTCCAGGTTTTCCCAATTCCCTGACATTTCCCGGTTATCCCGGCATTCCCTGACTGTGGCAACCCGCAACCCTCTCCTAACGCATTCTCCGATTTTGCCAAAAATGTTTGTTTGCTAAGGATCCTCTCAGTGCACTTTCAGGATAACTTAAATCTTGACGAATCCCTTAAAATTCAGGTGCACGAATGGCCGGTGGGAAACGACACGATGAAATCAAAGATGGAGATCGACCCGACGACGCAAAAGGACGCCGGTTACTACGAATGTCAGGCCGACAACCAATACGCCATCGACCGAAGAGGGTTCCGCACCGACTATGTCATGTTTTGAGATCACCCGAGTCAATCCTTCCCAACTTCCATCAGGACGACTTTGGCCGAGCGAAACTAATTTCAAAAATGGACTAATAGACAAGGTACGAATTCAAGCATTCTAATACATGTTTCTTGACCAGAATTTCACGTAGAACACGATTCGCGCAACGAAAATTACCGAAATCAACTCCTAACAAAGATATTAACGTTTATATTTCACATTGGTTACGAGGAGTTTGAACTGCCCGCTCACAAGAAACTCAAAGCTCTACGTGAGTCAAATCGTGCACTACAACGGTTTCAGCAAACTTCTCAATCATTCGATGTTCATTTCCCACCAGGTGCTGTTCAATCTATAAACAACTTGCAATAGCTGAGCTAAAGCGTCAAGATTAAGGTTGCCAGATTTTTAAATCGCAGAGACTGTCATGATAACGTTTAGCGCGCGATGTGAGTCACGTAGAGCATTGAGTTTTCATGAGCGGGTGGTTTGAATTCACGCATCAAGAATCATTTAATATCTTCATAACGAGTTGATTTCGGTAATTTTCGTTGTGCGCATCGTGTTCTACGTGAAATTCTGGTCAAGAAACATGTATTAGAATGCTTAAATTCGTACCTTGTCTGTTGGTCCATTGCTCCTGCAATTAACAGAGTGTGCAATATGTGCAGCTAACGTTACGCACTTTGTAGAAGTACCGTCTTAATAAGGAACGCTTCGGAACGTTCGGACACTGCAACCTTTACACCAATAAAACATGAATTTTCAGGGAAACTTGTCAATATTTTTTAGTGGAAATTTTCAAATTATTCTGCTCGCAATTTGAGAAAATGTATCTGACGATTTCAGAAAATATTTATCACTTTTCTCGAAAAATTTTTTTACCGTGTAAAGACGACACTTGAAACATACCTACATTTTTTCTTGTTCTTTTTTCTACTCTTAACATGGCAACGTCGAGTGTTGAGTTAGGAGAAGACATTAAGTATATTAGAAAACCAGTGATGTTCTAGCATTCTTTGAACAGATTTAAAATATTTTTTTCTTTGCTCAATAAATGTTGTGGACAATTTTTTTTCAAATTCATAAACCAAAATAAGATACGTGCAAAGAAACTACAAGGAGCTTTGTACGTAGAAGAAGTAGTAAATATCACAAATTAAAAAAAGAAAAAATAAGAAAATTGAAAACTTTACCTACGTATATTTAAATGGTGGGACAGATTTGCGAGGGCTCTCTCTTATCAAACAGGAAAACTTAAAGTTCAGACTTTCTAAGTCGGTATCTACTTGCATAAATGGTTACATTTAGTAACCTGTCGGATTCAGAGAGTATTTCAAGTCTTGTAATTCAATACTTGCCCTAAAAATGATGTGATCAGTTCTTTGAAATGCGATAATAAAAAGTACTGCATGCCAAAGAAAGCGTTCCGATTGGGTCTCATGCGGAGGAACATGTTCATTTTTATTATTTATTGTAACTGTTTCACTTAATGGCAAAATCAATTGGATTGTATTTTCACCAGCCTTCATATAAAATAAATTTTGAAAATAGAAAACTGTTGACGAATTTCTCGATTTTTGTCAAGTAAACACCCTACTAGGTTTCTAGATGATCTACCATGAAGTGAAGAGGAAGGGAGAAAAGAATATCTACACTCTTCATCCTTTTCTAAGCGACGTTTTCTGCGTGTTGGTACTCTACGGAAACACTACCTCTTCAGAAAAATTTAAAGTCAAGGCACTGCTTAAATAATACAATATCCACTATATCAATCATAGGGTCTTGAAAAGAGAAACTTTGCTAGCATAAAAATCGTCAGGATGGGTTTAAAACATAGGATGTTTCTTTCTCTGATCTTGATCGATTTATCCATCTGTTTTCATCTGTTCCATCCGTTTTCTATACATGGAAATCCTCGAATAGACAAGTATGTATTGCTGCGCAAAGGACGCTTTCCGGCCTAACTCAAAAATTGAAGGCGATAATAGCTTCGTTGATTGACCTCCTTATTCCATTCGCGGTAATTATTCTTCTCCATCTTCAATCAGATAGTAGCACTGCCTTCCTTTCGAAAAGTAAACTGCCAGTAATCAAAAAAAAAATTGTTTAGAAGTAGGTAGCAAAAACAAATCCATTAAAAATTCTGTAGGCCGTGAGAAAGTATCGCATGGCTGATTACTTAGATGTTCAGGCCATGGAATAGCCGTAGTCTAAAGCAGCTGCACTTATATAACTGTGCGCCCAATATTGGCGAACAAAAAATTACTAAACCGCACGTAACTTCTGGTTCCTTCAGGAAACCAGAATTTTCCGTCGAAATCTCAAAATTCGCGGAATCGCCTTAATTCGACGCAGATGGTTCAACTACAAAAACCGTTCCGGTGGACTAAAATGGTCCACGATTCGGCATGATCAAGGTAAGTCTTTGAAATGACCTGAGTCCCGGTGGCGATTTTGCAAGTTGGCAACACTGTTTTCCCTCCTTTTACATCTATTAAGTGTATTGATTTTAGGTGAGGCAAACTGCTTTCCCAAGATTCGATTCTTTTACATACATTTAAATGGAGGAAAAGCAGTGTTGCCAACCTTCAAGAATCGCCACTCCATATCGACGACAACGCCGCACAGAGGATCGAGTCAATAGGAGAGGTCGGACAAAATTTGGAAACTTTAAACGCTTACAACTCTGTTTATACAAAACTCTGAGGCTCTAAAAGTGGCTCCATGGGTTTTCTCGTGAAATTTTCTTCTGGTAGCACCCCTTGATATTCAAAATATGACGAAATAAACATTAAAATTTGCAGTTTTAGTCAAAGATTTCAAGTCCGACCTATCCCATTAACTCGATCTACTGTGCGCCAGCCAAATATTGGGCAAGATGAGCGGCATCAGTGGTTTGCCTTCAGGTAAAGGTAAAATTATCGATCAATCCCCCAAGAAACATAAAATCTTAAAGTTTGCTTAAGTTCAGTGTAAAATTTCTAAATAATATCGACGGAGAAACTGCAGAAGTGTGTATCTCGGAAAATAACACGAGTTTTCAGGATAGCAAAAAAAAACTGCCCACATTCCTCCTTGTCAGAGGAAGGGAAATAATTCTTGAGGATAGCAAGAATAAGATACTTTTTCGGACACCATCAGCTTTTTGAACAATTTTTTGAACTGTTAGAAAATACGGCAGAAAAACCCAGATTTGCGTTTTTGGCATTAAGAATTGACACTTAATACACATCAATAGGATCGCTCTATTTTCTAAATGTCTTCTTTGTCTATCAATATCAATGTTCAGCTCTCTGAATGAATAAGAGGAAAAATTACGGATGTGTTCACCATGAATTCACGATTAAGCGACTGCGTCTTTATTCTGCACCTTATTGCACGCCCAATCTTCCCTTCAGCTTTGAGGAAATAATAAATCCATATTAGAGAAACATCTTCAGGAAAATGCACAAAATTTATTTAAGCCCTTGTAAAGGTACATATTTGCCGTGCCATAAAAACAGGTAATGTTATAATACTGCAATGTAACAATATACCATGACAAGACAGTATTCGTAGCAATTCCCCGCAAATATCGGTTCGAATGTACCTCAATTTCACAACTTGAAGTAACTGGCTTTTTGTGAGGAAAAAGCCAATTTGGAATTAAAGCCATTTTTGTTTAGGGCAATAAGAATAGGCCATGCACTGGTAAAAAAAACCTCTTGGACCAATGCCGCGGTGCATTGACTTAAGAGTGCAGTTTCTTGTCGCCGGATTTAAGAGTCTAGAACTCTTGTTTCAAGCGGATTTTGCATTGCTTCAATTCAAAATCCGCTTGAAACAAGAGTCCAGACTCTTAAATCCGGCGACAAGAAACTGCACTCTTGAACCAAGAGGTTT